AAAAGATTATAGAACTGACACTCTGTGTGGATGTTTCATTTTGACTTACAGGATTACTATGAGCCAAAATGAATTTAACAGTAATGAGGGTTGTTTGTTCATTTGTTTTTAAATCAATTTGGACTATGATTTATTACAAGAGACAGAACAAAGCAAAGTGTAAGCAACTTTTTCTCTTAATTCTCCTATAAATTTTAGAACTATTAGTATCCAAGTTAGAAATATCATAAGGTTAAGGTTTATCTTTCTATTATGTTCTACGTTTTATTACTCTCTTAATGAAAAACAAAACAAAACAACCAAAAAAACCCAAAAACACCAAAACCCAAAAAACCCAAAACTAACAACCTACTTACCCTTTGTTTTTGTCTTTGCTATCACAAATCAAGCCATCATCCATCTATACATCCCTCTGGTTACTGTACTAGCTTTTAGCTAGCTGAGTGATTCCTATCTCCAATCTCTGAAACCATCACAATTCTTTAAAAATGTAAATTTTATGTTAATCAATTGCCTGATAATCTAACACAAACTGAATCTACTGTTACTTTAGGGAAATTTGGTGGAGTAGATTCTAGTGAGTTGTGCTGCTAATCCAAGGCTATACTTTCTTGATGGCTGGAATGCAACAGAGGATCTGAGGCAATAAGAAGGGCAATCCTCCTCTGTGTGATTTACAGTTTCAGAAACTCGATGGAGGTTCAGCTAGGTTGGAGATGTCTCAATGACAGTAAGTTAGTGCGTGCTATCTGTAACACACTATGTATACTTATTTTGTGCCAGGCTCTGAACTGTGTATTTTATTTAATCTTCAATCCTTTCTCTCTCCATATTTTGTCCTATAATCTTTTCCATTCTTCCACCATTTATTATTAGCACTTCCTTAAACAACTCTAAAATACTTGCCACAAATAAACTGTGTGGCAAGAAGCTGTGCTACAATCCCTAAGTCACAGTTTGAATCCACTAACTGCTCCATGGGAGAAGGATGGGCAATCTCTTTCCATGCTTTTAACTGCCCCGACAACCTGCTGGATGGTCAGCTATGGGTTGGTTCTGACTTGACGGCACACAACAAGAACAACAACGATGACGACATATGAAAGACAAGAAGAGAGGTGGGGTCTAGATCATGTAGGACCAAGCAGATTACTGTAAAACTCAGGTTATACTCTTAATGAAATGAGGAAGATTTTGAGCAAAAAAGGAGTAAAAAAAAAAAGCACACTAGAGCTTTGAGAAGAAGAGTATAGGGGATAAGGGCAGAACATAAAAATCTGTGAGTCACCTATTGGAGTACAGGTAAGAAATGATGGTATTTCAGACCAAAGTGGTTGTATAGGTAAAGTGATAAAATTCTGGACAAAATCTGAAGGCAGCCAAAGTTTAATTTGCAAAAGAACTGATGGTAGTATATAAATGAGAGAAGTCAGAAGTAATTTCAAAATTTTAGTGTGAGCAACTGCAAAAATGGTGGTGTTAATAATTTAGGAGGAAGCTCAAAAAGGTGGTGCCTTTTTAGTGGTTTTAAAGCCACTCTAGTGCAGATAGATAATCTCTTCCCATGGTATTTAAGGAGCTAGAAATCCTGCTTGAAAGGTCAGCTGTGAGTCAGCTTCAACACAATGGCACTGAGTTTTGAAAGAGCTATAATGGCCTACTGGACAGAAAGTTATGCTACCAAGTCCAAGGTGGGTGATTTTTATTTATCTGCGGCCCTCAGACCTAGTTTTAATTGTTTTTTGTCAAACATTCTTCTAAGTGGTATAGCACTGGTCAGTGCACTGCTGTATAGAGGTAACTCGTGGTTGCTGTGATGCTAAATACTGTGACACTGATGTGCCAAATGTGATAATGGTTACCCATGGTGAACAGTGTTTGGTGGAGCTTCCCAATCAAAACAAGCTTGGATGCAAGAGTGGCATCCACTTCTGAAATGGCTTGCCTCCAGAAACTCTATGACAGTGCTCAGGTCTTTTAGTTTATGGGTAGCAATGAGTCCTCTATGACTTGACGGAACTTAACAACAACAACAACAACATACTTAAACTATATATCGCAGGCGACTCAAAGGCACATAACAACCAACAACAAACATACTAGTTTGGTGTTTTTTTTTCTTAATTTTTTTATTTAAGGCTCTTGTTTAGAGTCAACAAGACCTTGGGAAGGACTTTTGTATTTAAAGCTGGTTGTTATTACATTTTGGAAGAACATTCTTCTAAGTGGTACAGCACTCTTCTGTCAATATGCTATAGTGTGGTAACCCAGGGTTGCTGAGATGCTGAATCTTGTGCTTTGGGGTTTCAAATGCCGTTAAAGGTTACCCATGGTGGATAGTATTTGGCGGAGCTCCCAGTTTCAGACATGTAATCTGGTGAGTAATATACTTCTCTTGCCTAGTACACTTACTCCCAATCTTCCTGATCTCATATTATCCCTCCTGTCAAAAACACTTCAAAGTTCCCTACTAGATACTTAAATAAGTTAACAGACGTTATTTCTTGAACAAGTATAAAATATTTTTATCTTAAGAGTTTTTAAAACTCTTTTTTTCAAATGTCCACATTTCTGTTCTGTCTATCCCTTTAGGTCTTTGCTAAAAAATGCCATCTTAATTATGCCTTTTCTGTTCCACTCAATAAAATGCTATTAAAGTAACGTAAGACTCCCACATTGTCTTTCCTTTTATTCTGTTTTACTTTCTCCATAGTATTTATCATATTTTTTTTAGTTAGGTGTTATGCAAGATGTGGGAACAGGGTTGCCTTTTTTTTGTGTGTGGAGCAAAGATATATTCTTAAAGCTTAGGACTCTGCCAGAAACATAATGGGATCTCCTAAACAAAAATTTGCTAAATACACGAATGAGATTATTTGGCATTATTATTTTATATCTTAGCATAAAAAGCCTAATATGCATTTCTTCATAAAAAACAGATTTATTCTTATTTACTACAGTAAGTATATTATGTCTTTAAGAATCAATCATGGAGACTTAATTAATTGACCAAAATACTATACTCCTGTGAATTTTTCTTGAGAGGGATTTTGTTAGAGCTCACTTGAAGTATTCATCATCTTTATGGATGCCTTTAGATAAGAATAAATTACAATATTTTTACTTTAACTTCAATAACTTTTATAATTAATTTATCAGTGTACATTTAAGCCTGTGCTATAATTTTAATGAATTTTTCATATGCCTTAATACTTACGTTAACTTTAACCTTTTGGCATGCCCAGGCATGACAGGAACATAAAGCATCTTGACTCCCTGTACCACCATTGTTGGCTCAATTCCATACTTTTCCTACAATATCCCAAAAAAGGGGGGGGGAGGGGAAAATAAAATCAATACCCTATGATCTGAAACAGGTAAAAAGAAAGCAAACTCTTACTCAAGAACATTGGTGCCTTCTAACGAAGTTATGGATAAAAACAAAATACCAAAACCTATACTCGAAGGTACTACTGAACTGAGTAAATAAAAAAATCCTTACTTTAACTGCATTTATGAAATCCAAGAGGGTGAAATCTTCTTTGCCATGTATAATCCATCTGTCCCAAATTGTAAATGATATACCATTTCTGTTGTAGAAAAAATTCAGAAAATATACATGTGAAGTTTATTCCCTTTAATTGGAAACCAACTAGAAACAAACACACCAAAAGCCCAGGAGCCTATTTATTTAGTTAGAAATAAACATTATTTTAAAAAAACAAGAAATAAATCACCAACACACCCTGATCCTTAAGTGTTCTGTGCTTGTTCTCACAGTTCTGGTGTCATAGTCCATAGGGAAATGTGCTAAATCAAAAGTGGCAGCTTTTTGGAGGTTCAAATCCACCAGTGGCTCCAAGGAAAAAAGATGGTTAATCTCTTCCTGTGTGATAAAGATTCTTACCACTGGACCAATTGGCAGCAGCAGGATGGATGGTGAAGAGACTGAGATTGTTAACAACTTTGGTTTGCTTGGCTCCACAGTCAACACTCTTGGCACAGCAGCCAGGAAATCAAAAAATGTACTGTGATGGGAAAGTCTGCTGTTA